GCGGTGGCCTGGCGCAGCTGCAGCGGCGTCCGCACGACACCCTTACGCCTCAGCAACTCCGTGATTGGTACACTCAGCGTGGGGTGTCTCGGAGTAGTGCTCGCTGCTCGTATGTCATTCGCACAGGTGATCGAGCTGGTCAGACTTGCGGGACAATTGGTCACACACAAACCCGCTGCTTCTCCTGTCTGAGAGACACCTGGCGTGCAGAGTTTGGCGACACGGCTGAGCTTCCCCGCTGGCTAGAGCTGCTTAGGCAGGGAGTGGATATCTTTGCTCTAGACTATGACGCTATCCTCACTGTCATGTATGCTTTGACTATTGGTACTGAGGGTGACTGTTCCCTGTGTGTGCTGCCTGACCCAGGTATAGAGGCTGCTGCTCTAGGTGCTAGTAAGTCTGCTCTCCTTGGTACTGCGCCTGCTGAGGCCTTGCACACCTTTACGCTTGACTCAGATGCTTCCCGCTGTTTCTTTCGCGACAGCACCACCCTCACTCCTCTCTCTGCACCTGTACCGGTCAAACTGGCTGACCCCTAAGGGGGCCCAGTTCTTGCTCGTTCCTCCACAATTTTCCCTTGTCCGGCGGTTCCGTCCGGCTCACTGTCAGGTCTTCACCTCCCCTCGTTCTCTACGAACTTGATGAGTACCGCTGCTCTCTAGGATGCGATGGTCACTACCACCACTCCTGGGGGTCAGCGTGTGTCGATCTATACGTGTACACGGACGGGTCGTCACCTGGCTACATTCACTCGTCGGTCTGGGTCGAGTCTGTACACACTGGCTACCGAGCCTCCTCAGGTAGCTGCGTCTGCCCAGGATGAGGTCCATAATGTCTTGATCCCTTGGATCCGCGCAGTCCGTCTCCAGCTCCGCGAGCGATTCCGCCAGGACCTTCCTGTCCTGCGTTTGCACTCTGACAGAGGTGGTGAGTTCTCCTCCGACCTCTTGCGAGACTTTTGTTGTGGGGAGGGCATTCTCCAGTCGTTCACGCTTCCGGCCTCTCCTCAGCAAAATATGATTGCTAAGCGCCGCATTGGCTTAGTCATGGAGGTCGCTCGTACCTCCATGATCCATGCGGCTGCTCCTCATTTTCTGTGGCCATTTGCGGTCCGGTATGCTGCGCTTCAGCTCAACCTCTGGCCCCGTGTCTCCTTGCCGGAGACCTCGCCTACACTGCGTTGGACGCGGAAGGTTGGCGATGCATCGGTGTTTCGGGTCTGGGGTTCTCGTGCCTTTGTTCGTGATACGTCCGCGGACAAGCTCTCCGCCCGCGCTATTCTCTGCGTCTTCCTTGGTTTTCCCCCTGACGTGCCTGGCTGGCAGTTTTACCACCCCACCTCGCGCCGTGCCTTCCCCTCTCTGGACGTCGCGCTTGACGAGTCGGTTCCCTTTTATCGTCTCTTCCTCTACCGCTCTACCCCTCCCCCACCCCCGCCGCTCTTCTTTGCTCCAGGTCCCCCTTCGGTAGACCCCCTCCCCCCCAAGGGTCCTGCTCCCTCAGGTGTATCTCAGGGAGACCCTCTCCCTGGTACTGTGCCTGTTGAGGTAGCTGTAGCCTAAGGTGCTGCTAGAGGTGTTGCGTCCGGGGGTGCGATGTTGGTGCAACCCTACGGTTTGTACTCGGCTTGTTGTCCGTGTGCGTGAATGTGTGTGTGTATGGAATGGTATGAGGGCATGGCATAATATATATTTCATGCTTATAATTGTGTGTGAATGTTGAGTCATGATGTCGAGTGTGTGTGTCGAGTCAATAGCGAGTTATCGCTAGACGCGTGTTACGCGGTCGTTTGTGTCTCGCGCGCGGTTTCTATTTTGTCGTGCGCGGTTTCTATTTTGTCCTGTGTCGAACGTTCGGCGTGTCGCAGGTGTGTGCAGCAGACCCATCAAGAACTCAAGGATGAGTTTGTGATGAAGAGCCCGAGCCTTGGTGTCAAGTCTCAAGTGATTTCGAAGCTTGCCAAAAGGGTACACCTCAAGATATTGAAGATAGTTACATTACTTTGTGTAGTGTAACATTTCACTTGGTGTAGGCCCTAGTGAAGGGTAGTTTCGAGACCCTTCGTGGTTGGGGACAGTGTGGCACTGTTCCACATCACTGTACCTCGGCTCTTGGGGTTTGTAGGAGCTGGGAGTCATTCCCAACTCGTAACTCTTCCTATCTTGTGTTCTAAGACTATAGTGGCCGCCATAGTACCGTTCGTTTAAACCGACGCTGTGTCGTCAATTCTTTATCAAATCGTGCAATCTAAATTGATAATTGTAGACGACGTGAAGACGCTCCAGATCCAATTTGAATCAAGTCATTTGCAGCTGTGAGCAGAACGCTATCAACGTTTGAAGCCGCTGTGCAGAAATCCGTCTGTGCTCTCTATCTTTCGTTTTAGGCACATTCAAGCCTATTGTGACTATAACAAGTGGTATCAGAGCCCCTTGGAGCAGTTTCGACAATGTCTGGACCTGAGGAAAGGGGTGGCAGAGGTGCTGGTGGCAGTGGAGAAGCTCAAGCTCAAGACCAACCCCGTGATTCAGCCATGGCGCCCATGCAACCAAGTCTTGGCCCACCTAGGGATGAGCCTAGGGTGTTTGGGCTTGACAAGTTCAACGGTGACAACTTTGCTGAATGGTCCTTCAAGATGGAGAACATCTTTGACCACTATGACCTGCTTGAGGTGATGGAAGGAACGGAGAAGCGCCCCGAGAACGACCCGGAGAAGAGCCCGTGGGTGCGGAAGAGCGCACAAGGCTATCTTTTACTTGGGCAAGCGTTGGGGAGCAGTCAGATCCGTCACATCAAGCCATTCCAGCGTGAACCAGAGAAAGTACCAAAGGCATGGGCTGCTCTCAAGGGTGTACATGCTCCTGCAACAGCGGCGGTAGCGGTGGTGTTGGAACGGCAAATAGCGGCACTACGAATTGAAGAAGACGAAGCGGTTGAAGAAGGGGTGCAGAAATTCTTCGACTTGTTGACGCGGCTTGAGGGAGCTGATTTGAACTACAGTGAGCTCCAAAAGAAGACCAAGTTGCTGGCCTTACTCCCAGAGTCATGGTCCTCGCTCATCATCAACCTTAATCGCGACTTGCCCCGCCTCTCGCTTGAAGACGTGAAGCGAGCTATCCTTCAAGAGGATTTCCGCCGCCGTGAGTTGGCGAGTGCGGATGGCGCTGGGGCAGCGAGCATCGGCCGTGGATATGGTCGAGGAAGAGGCAGAGGACGAGGGGGAGGAAGGTTTGGTGGCAGCAACTTCGGCGGAGGCCGCAGGAGTGGCGGTTACGGCAGCGACGACAAGAGCTACGGACGCGGTCGCGGCCGATTCGACGGCGAGTGTCACTATTGCCACAAGAGCGGACACATGTGGCGCGACTGCTACAAACTCCCTGATGGTTGGACCCCTGCTCAAGGCCAAGAGGGTAGAGGAGCAGGAGGAGGGAGAGGACGAGGCCGTGGAGGCCGTGGCGGTCGCGGTGGCGGAGCTGCAAACATGAAGAGCGGAGACAACGACAAGGACCCGAGCGACGATCGATACCCGGGTCTATTCTACTTCGTGTCGACGCAAGTACCGGCTGGTCCAGAGAAGGATGAAGGCTTTGAGAAGCCAGCAGCTGTGGGGAAGGTAACCCTACACCCCCTGGACTATTGGGTGATTGATAGTGGCGCTACCTATAGCATGACACCTCGCCCGGACTTGCTCACCGAACTCGAGCCGTCACCGGTGAAGCATGTCACATCGGCTTTGGGGCAGCGAGCAGAGGTGAAAGGCATGGGCAAGGCCATGTTCAAGGGTGCTGATGGGAAGATGGTGGGCCTCAAGAACGTGCTTTGGGTGCCCAGCCTTGCTGCAAACCTGATTTCCGTGCGGCGGTTGGCAAAGGCCGGCATGGACACGAACTCGAAGGGAGCCAAGACCTACACCGCAAGGCTTGGCGATCGAATTCTTTGGGACCTTCATGAGGACAGGGATGTCTACAACGAGATGTGGCAGATCCCAGTGGTCCCTATGCCTAAGGAGAGGCAAGTGGCAGCAAGCATCAGCACCAAGGATGGAGCGGTCGGTAGCGACGATGGCGCGAACGGTCGCGCTAAGGAGAATGAGCTCAAGAAGAGCAAACCTGGAGGGACCAGCAAGTTCAGTGAACCTAAGGAGAGTGGTGCAGCAACCAAGGAGCAGCAAAAGGGTGAGGAGAACCCAGAGGCAGCAGCGGAGGAGGACTACGGAGAGAGTATGTGGGGCGCTATTGCGAGCGCGGCATTCTCCAATCCAACTTCGGCTACGGGGGAGTGTGATTGGCTCACCTTGCATCGGCGCATGGGGCATGTGGCCCTGCCCATCTTGCAGCAGCTAGTGAAGAATGAGATGGTTGCTGGCATACGTGTGAAGGGGGAGCCCGATGAGGTGCTTGGCTGCCCGACGTGCATTCAAGCCAAGTTCACCCGGTTTCCGTTCCCTAGTTCGGAGGCAACGGCAAAGGCACCGCTTGATGAGGTGGTGATGGACGTGGTGGGCCCCCTGAAGCTTGGAGCTGCTGGAGCTGAGTATTTTCTCACCATTGTCGACGTCTACACCCGCATGACTTGGGTGTACGTGCTGGCCAAGAAGAGCGACGTGGCTGAAACGTTGAAGACGGATTGGTTCCCGATGGTGGAGCGGCAACAAGACCGTCTAGTCAAGTCAATCCGCACCGATGTGCGGAAGGGGATGGGGGAGTGGATGGGCGGGGGAGTGGTGGTGTGGGGGGGAATGAGACATGTCAAACCCCGCTCTATGCGCCGATTGCGACTGTTCGCCACCTCGTTAATGCTGATGTGCGGAAGGGGATGGGGGAGTGGATGGGCGGTTGGTAGTGGTGGTGTGGGGGGGAATGAGACATGTCAAACCCCGCTCTATGCGCCGATTGCGACTGTTCGCCACCTCGTTAATGCTGATGTGCGGAAGGGGATGGGGGAGTGGATGGGCGGGGGAGTGGTGGTGTGGGGGGGAATGAGACATGTCAAACCCCGCTCTATGCGCCGATTGCGACTGTTCGCCACCTCGTTAATGCTGATGTGCGGAAGGGGATGGGGGAGTGGATGGGCGGGGGAGTGGTGGTGTGGGGGGGAATGAGACATGTCAAACCCCGCTCTATGCGCCGATTGCGACTGTTCGCCACCTCGTTAATGCTGATGTGCGGAAGGGGATGGGGGAGTGGATGGGCGGGGGAGTGGTGGTGTGGGGGGGAATGAGACATGTCAAACCCCGCTCTATGCGCCGATTGCGACTGTTCGCCACCTCGTTAATGCTGATGTGCGGAAGGGGATGGGGGAGTGGATGGGTGGTTGGTAGTGGGGTGGGGTGGGGTGGGGTGGGGTGGGGTGGGGTGGGGTGGGGTGGGGTGGGGTGGGGTGGGGTGGGGTGGGGTGGGGTGGGGTGGGGTGGGGTGGGGTGGGGGCATGCGACCTCTCCGAACCCGCTCTATGCGCCGGCTGCGACTGCTGGCTACCTCGTGCATGCTGGTGGGTGGTGGGGGGGGAAGGGGGAGGGAAGGGTGGGAGGGAACCGAGGGAAGTGGGAGGAAGGGTTTCGAGACGTCCCAAAACCTGCTCTATGTGCATGTTGGCCAGCTCATGCATGCTGATGTGTGTGCCTGTTGGGCACCTCATGCATGCTGATGTGTGTGTGGGACGGGGGGGAGAAAGGGTGGAGGGGTGGGAGTTGAAGTTGGGGGAAGGCAAGGGTGTGTGAGGGGTGGGGGAGCGCAGGGGAAGGGGAAGTGGTTGAATTGAAACCCCTCGGGTCTTGGGGGAGACACCTGCTCGAGACCTGCTCTAGTCCCCTCGGACAGTTGCGACTATCTTGAGACCGTCCTCATGAGCGACAATTCCATTCGCATGCGCGAGGAGCTCAACCGAAATGGAACCCAAAATGGCTCGCTTGGAAGTTGGAGCCGAGATAGAGCAAGGATTCACTGAGGATGATCTTTAAGCCCTCTTCATTATTCGTCCCCCTCAGAAGCCACAACCCAGCTGCCGCTTTCCTTCTCACCCTCTCTCACCCCTCTCGCTCTCTCTCCCTCACACCCATCTCACCGTCGCTCCACGCGGCCCATCTGCTCTCTCAGAGCGCTCATCTGCTGCTCCAGCTGCCGCCCCTCGCGCTCCTTCTCCCCCGCCTGCATCCGCAGCTCCCTCCCTCTCTTCGCCAAAGGGTCCTGCCACCAGCCAGCACGGAGGGGGTCAAACAAACCGGGGGGACGGGGAGAGAGTTGTGAGACGCTTAAGAACGAAAGGGGGGCGGGAGGAGGGAGGGGAGGGAGGGGAAGGGGGGGAGAAATTGGGCTGCATGCGGAGGAGAAAGAGGCACACATGCATGCAACCAATGAATCCTGTCACCTTTTTATCCACCTGCCATGGGACATGGGGCATGGCACTGGAGCTTCAACTTCCAACCTTCAATCCTGGTTCCACTACAGAATACCATTTTCGTAAGTGGACATATACGCTCATCTTTGGTAGCATCCAGTCCCAGTGTTTACAAGCTGCTAAACGCTCGCGTTTTTTTTTTTTTTTTTTTTTTTTTTTTTTTTTTCCGAGCAGACCCTAAACAAGCTTTCGTGCGACAACCTCGATTTTGACACGGCACAAATTCGCTCGCCCAAACAGAGCCGAAACCTAAACACCTCCTCAACATTCCAGCACTAAACCGCAACGGCATGCTTGGGTGGCCATGCCCTCCGCCCCCCTTTCCTTCTCCCATCACGCACCACAGCGGCCTTGGGCGGTTTCACTTCCGGCAGGGCGGCCAGCTGCGCCTCTAACTGCTGCAGGTCGTCCCGAGCTTCCTCCAGAGAACACACACGCACCCACTCATCGCCTCACCCATGAACTCATGCCCCACGCCCCATGCTCCCCCCTTTTTCCATCACCCACCACAGCAGCCTTGGGCGGTTTGACTTCCGGCAGCGCGGCCAGCTGCGCCTCCAGCTGCTGCAGGTCGGCCTGTGCCTTGGCCAGCCGCTGCTCGCGACTCTCCGCCTTCTTCTTCGCCTCCAACACATCGCGCTGCCTCTCCACCGCCTGCTGCACCTGTGGGGGCACACAGGGGGGACGAGCAAGTGTACAGTGTGTGATGTGAGAAGACCTTTCGGAGGGTGACTACAATGATCTCAGTCGTTTGCCCTCCTCGCCTCCACCACGTCCCTCTCCCTCTCCACCGCCTGCTGTACCTGTGGGGGCAAGGGGGCCACGAATGTGTACAACAGTGTATGATGCACAGTGTGAGGAGAGGAGCAATTTCAGATTCAAACTAAGCTGGTCTCCCTCTCTTGCCATGTGCACCTCCCCCACCACGTTCCGCTCCCTCTCAAGGGAGGCGAGCAGCTGTGAGATGATGTGATGCGAGGAGCAGGTGTCTCCCAGGTGCAAGGTTGGCACCTCTTGCAGTGCCCCAAACGTCAGCTAAGCATGTCAATACTACCCTTTGCCACCCTTCGCTTCGCATCGGCTGGTCGCTCTCCTTCCCCCCATTCCTTATTCCTCCTCACCAGCTGGTCGCTCTCCTCTGAGAGTTCCCGCAGCTTCCTCTCTCTCGCCTCGTTCTCGCGCCCTATCTTCGCCACCAGCGATGCAAACCCCCCTCGACTCTCCTTCAGTGCTCTGAGGGTGGGGAGGGTTGGGGGGTTTGGTGAGGAATAGTAGGGGAGAGATGGAATCAGTGGGAAAAGAAGAAGGCAGTTCGGCAACTTAGATTCTATAACTGACAACTGGTAACCCCGCGACATCTCCTCACGCACAGCACTCCCACGAGGGGGTCCCTGGCGGCCATGACTCACATGAGGGGGTCCCTGGCAGCCATGACTCACACGAGGGGGTCCCTGGCGGCCATGACTTGTGTCTGCAGGTCGTCCCTCTCCTTAAGCCTCGCCTCCACCGCTACCTCCATCTCCCTCACGCGCCGCTTCATGCGCTCGTACTTGAGCCATGGCACCTTCTTCTTCATCAGCGCTACCTGCATGGCAGGGGAGTAGAAGGGGGGGAAACGGAGCGGAAGGAGGAGCGAATGAGGACGCCATCGCCCGTCCCTCCATGCGCTCGTACTTGAGCCATGGAACACTCTTCTTCGTCAGTGCGACCTGCATGGGGGGAAGAGGGGAGAAGGGGGGATGGGAGGGTGGAAGGAGGAGAGAGTGGACAAGGCGAGAGTGGGACCTTAATCACCCCACGCTTCCGTGAGTGATGAGGCGACTTTTGAGTCGACTCAAAAGTCGCCTCATCACCCACGCTTCGTACTTGAGCCAAGAGACCTCCTTCTTCATCAGCGCTACCTGCATGGCGGGAAGGAAGAATACGGAAGGGAGGAGAGAACGAATGGAGGAGAGAGTGAAAGGAGGAGAGTTGGAGCTTCATCACACACCATTTCACCCACTCATGTAGACCTGGGCGTCGGGGCCGGTTACACGCCTCGAATCATCTGAGTTACTCGTCTAGGGGCGAGAAACGAGTTTGCTTTTTGGCCGAAATTGCTCGCCCGAGGCGATGCGAGTTTAACTCGTGTTTGGGGCACGGCACCTTCGCCCTCATAAGCACCACCTAATGGAGAGAGCGTGGACTGGGGGAGAAGGGGAGTTTTGCGACGCCTCCTCACTACTTTCTTTCTCTCGAAAGAAAGGTGGGGGGGAGAACTTGGTACGGGGAGAGTGAGGGAGGGGAGGGGCTAGAGTGTGTGTGCACAGGACACATCCAGGAGAGATGGCACCTACTCCCCATCATTGCCACCAGCATGGTGAGAAAGCGAGGGAGAGAGGGGAACGTGGAGAGCAGAACGCGCGTGTCGGAATGGGGGAAGAGGGCCTCTGTGCATGTGACACATGCAGAAAGGGGAGAGAAGGCGAAGATGGAAAACGGGAGAGGGGAAACGGGAGAGGGGAAGCGGGAGAGTTTCAGGGTTGCAGGCCCTCTCACACACCCATCGTGCCTGACACACCCATCGTGCCTGACACACCCATCATGCCTGACACACCCATCGTGCCTGACACACCCATCGTGCCTGACACACCCATCGTGCCTGACACACCCATCGAGCCTGACACACCCATCATGCCTGACACACCCATCGTGCCTCTCACACCCATCGTGCCTGACATACCCATCGTGCCTCTCACACCCATCGTGCCTGACACACCCATCATGCCTGACACACCCATCGTGCCTGACACACCCATCGTGCCTCTCACACCCATCGTGCCTGACACACCCATCGTGCCTCTCACACCCATCGTGCCTCACACACCCATCGTGCCTGACACACCCATCGTGCCTGACACACCCATCGTGCCTGACACACCCATCGTGCCTGACACACCCATCGTGCCTGACACACCCATCGTGCCTGACACACCCATGGTGCCTCCAACGATAACCCTCACCTCTTTGAGAATGGCCTCCCTGCGTTGCACCTTCTCCACATCCACCTCCACCTGCGCGTTCGCCTGCTGCAGCTTGCCCAGCTGCTCCTCGTGTGACACCAACGTCTGTGGATGGGGCCAGGGATGCATAGGGTACATTGAAAACACCCAGGGTGGGTTACTATGTGGCAGCAACTCAGGCTGAAAACACCAACGTAGGTTGGTATGCTCTTTGGAAAATCCAATACACGCTCACCCAGTACTAGAGCAATGTGTAGTTGCTCAGGAAATCAAAGCAGCGCCAGCTCTCTCTCGCCATGTGCGTGCAGCATGGACAAGAAACCCCAGGCCCAGGGTCGCGAAGGTGTGCTGCTGGGAGAGCAGCAGAAGAACTTTTGAGTCGACTCAGAAAAATCCCCAGCCTCATCTCACCGCATGCAGGCAACACGAGAGAACTCCCAGCTGCATCTCACCGCATGCAGGGTGGCGAGGGCGTCCTGCTGGTCTTTGAGGAAGGCGTGCTGCTGGGACAGCTGGGGGTCGCCCACCGCCCTCTGCGTCTCCTCCAGCAGCTGTATGGGCGACATGCCTGCGAACGCACACACTCGGTCCTGTGGGAGGAACTGCAGGGGAGAAGAGAGGGGTGGGAGGAAGTTGGGGAAGAGGACGGGGTCTGGTGGATGGGGATAAACACTAGCAGCTGGACCGGTGACATGCCTGCAAATGCACACACCTGGTCCTGAGGGAGGAACTGCTTCTGAGAAGGTCGGGGGAAACGAGGGGGTGTGGCTACAAGTGGGATTGGGTTGAAGCGAAAACAACCGTGATGGGGATGAAGCAGAAGAGAGAAGGGGAGCGAGCGAGGTGGGGTGGGCTGTTCTGCATGTCTTTGGAAGGCACACCTCTTGCCCCAGTGCGCAGCACTTGCCTGGGTGAGGTTGGAGATCTGGATGTTGAAGCGCTTCATGCACTCCTGCACTTGATCCCGCCGCACTCCGTGCCCTGCCCAAAGGGGGAGAGCGCATCGTACGGTGAGAGAGAGCATGGAAGGAGGGGCAGAGCGCATAACAGCAGTTGCAAAGTCCATCATGCAACGCAGGTGTACTATTATTTTAAAAGGCACATCATTGGCATGCGTATGGAAATGCCATGTCACGCCTGCCACTGCGCTGCACGGCATGCCAAGTTCAGTTCAATGACGCCCATATCTCACTTGAAAAGTCGTGATTCTATTTTTTTCAAACCACAGCACCCATACCGTTGTTGAGGAACCAGCCAATGCGGTTCTCAAGTGATCCTGCCCGTGACATGCCTTCTGAGTCGAATCAAAAGCCATACCATTGAGCAGCCAGTCGGAGCGGTTCTCAATGGAGATCCTGCAAGTGACTTGCCTTATAAGTTGAGTCAATCAAAAGGTCATACCATTGAGCAGCCAGTCAGTTCGGTTCTCAATGGAGATGCGGCGGGTGACGTGCCACTCCTCCCCCGCCACATCCCCCCGCAGCACGATGCTGATCTCGGCGCTGCGCTCCCCCCGCTGCACAAACTCCCCCACGTGCGCCGCCCGCCCCAGCATCTGCCACCCAGCATAGAGGGAGGGAAGGGGGAAGGGCAGAGAGGGGGAGGTCGGGAACGGGGGATGGGGTTGTGGGGGGGAAAGGGTGGGGAGAGAACGAGTCACGACTTCCGGAAGTTTCCAATGGTGAATCCAGTGATGCTGGCATACACTCCCCCACGCAGCACGATGCTCTGCACTGTGCTCGCCCGCTGTGCGCCGCCCGCCCCAGAATCTGCGAACCAACAGATAGGGGAGGGGGGCGGAGGGGGGAAGAAACAGGAGGGTAGGAATGGCGAGGGTTAAGTGGCATTTGAGAAGCTTTGGAGCAGAAGTAAAGTCAAACTTCTGAAAATACTGTCTCGAGGTCTTGTTTTTCCTCCCACCATTTGTCTGCTTCTTAAACTGGCATGAGTGGGGGTCCGGTTGAGTTCAGTCTACGGGAGGAAGAGACGAGAAGCAGCGATTACCTTGGGTTCTCCACCGAGCCACCAGCCCGATGGCGCAGATGAGGGAGCTCTTGCCCGACAGGTGTGCCACCAATCACGCACTCACGCACTCATGCAGCTCACCTTGGGTTCTCCGCCCAGCCCCAGCCCGATGGCGCAGACGAGCGAGCGCTTGCCGGAGCCATTGGGCCCGACGATGAGGTTGAGGCGCGGCGAGGGGCGCGCTGAGATGGACGCGTACGTCATGAAGTGTTTCACCTGCACCAATAGGATGTTGCCAGGCTGGAACCCGTCCTCGCCTCTGATTGGTGGGTGGAGGGCAACATCAACATTGGCAGGAAGAAGGGGAAGAGCGGCATGGGTGCAGAGGGGGGGAGGGCGGAGGAAGGGGAGGGGAGTGAAAGGGGAGGGGGTGGGTGCGTTGGGAAGCTGGAAGGTGGGAAGGGATGGTCGTGAGGAGCAGGCAACGTAATTACAGTGGTATGGCGCTAAAAAATCGATTTTGAGGCTCCTCAGAAATAGTACAGTGGCATGGCGCTAGGAATCAAACTTTTGGGTTCCGCAAAAATAGTACAGTGGTATGGCGCTAAGAATCGGATTTTGAGGCTCCTCGGAAATAGTACCTTGGCATGGCGCGAGGAAGAGCCAATGTTGCCTGTGTCGGCGTGCCTTCAGGTCCGTCCCGATCCTCCCCCATACCGGACGGAGTAACTGGACGTTCGGCGTCTTCTTCAGGCTCGGCGCGTTCGCGAGCGCGAGGCTGCGTGCTAGGTCCGGCAGCCTGCGAATTCCGAACGTAGCCGTCTGGCTCGTAACCGTCAGCCTCGGCATGATAGCCGTTGTTGCTTTCAACCACTTTTTCCTTGCCCTTGGCGCGAGAGACGTTTTCCCGCTTCGCCACGACAGCAGCCTCCCGTTTCACCATTCCAGCTTGGCGCCTCGCGGCCACGTCAGCTTCTCTTTTCACCGGGCCCGCGGCTCGTTCTCGCTTCACCACGTCAGCCGGCTGCTGCGAAGAGGAACCATCGCCGCCGCTCGCTCCCCCCGTCCTAAGCCGCTTGCTCCGGCGAGTCCCGCTTTCATCTGAGCCGTTCATCTCCGCACGACGATCATCGCGCCGCTCACGCGTCGTCTGTGGTTCGCCATGGGCCTCCTCCGCGGCTACTTCCGCAATCCCCGCTACCCCCGCTACCTCTTGCGCCTCCTCCGCATCCTCTCGCTCCACCTCCTCCTGTACGCTCGTCGACCGGGTCACGCGCCTCGCCGACTCGCCTGAACGACTAACGCGCTCCCGCTTCGGCGCCATGAGCCTCGCTCGACCCGTGGATGATTATCGCGAAGGGTTAGAGCTCGACACAATTTTATGTTGACGACATTACAGAGTGCGACATTGGAAGGATAATGCGAGCTCTCAAAACTGAACCAAAGGATACAGCAAGGCACGAGAACCTACGAAGCAGAGAGACGTTTATATCCCAGAGAGGGACTGCTAGCCATGCAGAGTGACGACTGAAGACAGGCGGAGACTATCGAGGTCCTTCCTAGGGAGTTGAAAGCGTATTTTCGAGGTTGCGGATCGCTCTTGAACAGAAATCATGTTCCAACTTTCGAAACGCTTTCTGTTCTGCAGAGTTCGTTTCCCGCCCTTTCGGCATTCCTCCCGCAGGCAACGCTTCGCGCCTTAGGCACTTCAAAATGTGGGCACGTGAGGAAAGTGTAGTCACTTGAGAAACGTTATATACTAAAAGCAATAATATTTACACTAGCATTATTTGTACTACTACCAAGCATTTACTCTAGTGCTTTGTCAGCATTCCACAAAGTGCATCATCTCATGCCTGAATTTGAATGGCCACTTTCATGTTGCCAGGCGAGCAGTGGCCAGGCACACTACATGAGAAGTATAGGGTCTGGCCCCTTGCTGACTGCAGCACCTTGTACCTGAGAGGGTGTAACGTGAGCATCAAAACAAGCAGTCGAAATTTCAGATACGGTATTAGAAAAAATCGAGCCATAAAACCAATCCAAGGCAGTCCACCATCCAACAAAGCTCAGTCATTCCGGCCATCCAAGGCAATGATCCAAACTGGCTAGAAAAGGGTGTGCTCACCTGTACGTCTTAGAGTTGACGATCCGTGTGAGCTTCTTAGCAGCTCCGAAGTTACAGCTTTCATACGCGTCGTCAGAGTCCATGAGAACCACATCATGTGGAATGACACCCCTCCGCTTGAACACTGCACGTGCATTGTTGCGACGCAGATGGTGAGAGTGGAGCACATACGCACACACTGGAATCAGTGATGAACTGGATGGAATGGGTAAAGGACTAAGCTCACGAGTCACACATCACGAGCCACAAGTCACAGGCCATGAGCAACAGCAGGGTGTAGAGGGGACATTAAAGTATTTAGATGCCTCAAAGCTCACTACTTTTGAGTAAAGCCAGAGCCGAGCAAGCAACATCACATGCCACGAGTAGCAGGAAGGTGAGAGGCCACGAGTAGCAGGAAGGTAAGAGGCCACGAGTAGCAGGAAGGTGACAAGGAGACGTACCGAGCACATCGCCTACACGAGCAGCCGTCGAGGGGCGCCAGTTGTGCAGGTTGTAGCGCCAGGGACTGCGCCCCCTGCCACCCACGGTGATCGCTCTGGCCTGAGGGGCGTCAGGGCGTGAGGGAAAGGGCATGAGGAGAGAGGCGTTATGTCTCCGATAAAAAAATGCACCTAAACGGATGGACACGAGGGAAGAAGGCACTGTAACGCAGACGAAACACGTGAAGAAATTGCCAAAACTGAAACGAACCGTAATGACAATGGTTGGTTTAACTAAAGGTTTCACACATCGGAAGCATGTCGGATTAGCTTTCGGTGGCATTCTCCCTAGTTTCGAAGAAATCTAAAAGGCAGACTATGAGTCGGAGAGGAGAGTGCAGCAGGGGAGTTAATTTGTACCTCTGCTTGGGCTGCGCCCGAAGGCCAGAAAGAATTCATGTCATTCAGCCGAGTTGATGGGTCGCGACGATGGCATGAGAAAAAGGAGAAACGGAAACACAGGGTAACGGGGGGAATAGAACACAGAGAAATGGGGAGGGAAGGCAGAACAGAGGAATAGGGGAAGAGGGAAGGGCAGCAAACAGGGAGATAGGAAGCATAGAGAATGAGAGAGAGACAGAAGCGCGGAAGCAGGAACAGTGGGAAGCACAGGAACAAGGAGTGAAGGAGGACAGAAGACAGGGAAGGAAGCACAGAGAGACGGGAAGGAGGAGGGTATGAGTGTGTTGCTGAATGGTCTAAACAGCATCCGAAAGTGATACGGCATGAGGACTGGAGCGGGAGAGGAGCCAAAGCCGCAGATTCCAGTAAAGGCGACGCGAGGCCAAAGAGAATCAGCGAACCGAAAGCGATGCCTTGGAAAGACTTTGGTAGTTGAGCGTGAGGAAGAGGTCAATTAAGCAACGAACGCAACCAGGCGAGGACGGACGGTTCAAGCGGAAGGCAGACGTACAGAGCAGGATGAGAAGCGCGGCAGTCGCGAGGGCGATGGCAGGGAGCGAGCGAGCCATGGCGAGAAGAGAGGTTTGCGGGGCTTCGAGAGATGATCCGGTTTGTGAGGCGCCTCGAAGATTGTACGGCTTGAAGCGATGTGACTCGAGTGGGACGCTGCGACGCTGCGGCGCGGAACGGTTGTGCGAAACGGCAGGAGGAAGACGGCGACTGTCGTCGGAATCGCCGAGCGATCAGATACTCCTTGCCAGAAGTAAGGTATTTGTAAGGTGATTGACCTTGCTCTACAATCTTCCAAAACACACGCTCTCAGGGGACGGTTGATAGACGATCACGGTCTAGGCGATAGAAGCTATATGTCAGCCCTGCGTAGCATTAAGCGTTTGCTCCGAGACGCCTCAAAAGCACGGCTTAGTCGATAGACGCGCTGTGTCAGTCCTGACAGTCCTTAAGCGCCGGGCGTGATCTCAGATCTGTGTTCGAACCGCCAAGCACGGGCTTCGCGAATGCACTTTTTGCGGTGAAGGGAAGGCGCGTGCGAGGAGCAACTGCAGGTTTTTTGTGATGCGGGCGAGGAGCACTGGGCTTCTATGCGAGTGTACCGTGAAGTAATGCTAAGTGCGTCCAGTCGAGGTGTCTGACATTCATAAATGAATCACCAATTCTATGTAGCCGCTCCCCTTACTCCAGTCCTTGCTCCTCGACTGTACTCCGTCCTCGCACTCGCACACTACGAACCGACGTCGCGGCTTGCGTGAATCTGGTCAAACGATTCAGCCTAGGTCCGTTGCTTCCGGGGGAAGCTGGATTCTAAATTGCGGCTGAGCCGCGTTGCTCCTCCCCGCTCGCCGTGCGCGCCACCGCATTTCATTCAAGCGCGGGCAGCGTACGTAGAGCAGGGACACGCTCTCTCTCACACTCGCGCGCAACGTACAGTACGCGCGCTTGTACTGTACAGAAACAAAGGTCGAGATGATGCGGTGAAAGGTTTGACCAGCTCGAACTGAGGCGAGAGGGAAGAAAGCAAGACGCCACGTTGCTTCCTACTCGTCCTGCCAGCCACATTCCACAGCATTCTGAGCGGCGGCTCTCTCACTGTCTCTCCTTGCACTCGCTCCAAGCGCCACCGACCTACTAATGGTCCGTACTGTACAGTGATCCGTCCGGTCCTAAACCATAGCGACCATTCATTCTGTCACCAGCCCAAGCACGGTGCTTCGCTTCTATTCGTCAAGTGCATGGGCGAATGTGGGAACGGCTCCTCCGGGGAAGGCTCGCGTAGCGGCGACGACGAATCGCAAGGAAGCACGTGGTGTCCGGCGAATGTGGGAACGGCTCCTCCGGGGAAGGCTCGCGTAGCGGCGACGACGAATCGCAAGGAAGCACGTGGTGTCCGCGATGCATCGTGCTTTGAATGAGTGGTGAAAGCAAGGTTGGTCCATTCACGGTCTGGTGCGTGGCGGTGAAGCGAGATTCTACACTCTGGGGAGGAGTCAGCCAACGAAGGAGGTTCTGTACATGCACCTGGGATGGGGAGATTATTCCGTGGGTGTATGCACCTGTCGTCCACTATAAGTGGCTGGGAGACGTGCCCGTTAGTGGCTTCACTCGACTGTCCACTAAAATCTGTTTATCAAGCAGACTTGACTCGATATTATCTGAAACGTATGAATTGAGCAGAATGTCTCTTTTCTAGTTGGCCAAGTTCAAGGGTATGCATGACTTTATATCAAACTTAATCCATAATAGAAAAATCACAGCTGAAGTTCAAGGCATACATAAACTTTCACCATAGTGCAATGAACCGAGCCCTGTCAAGCACAACAAAACCGAACAGCAGGATCAAAATAAATTGTACTGTATGGAGTTTGAAAACAATTGCCACAAAGGAACAAGTCAACTGCTTGAAGCGCTATGGTATTTTTCTACACTGCATTCCCCCACAACCAGTTATTTACAGTCAGAAAGCTTATCTGTGTTGTCAACATAGATTAGCTAACAGCATGCCGAAAGAAACCCGCACAGTAAAGACTCAAGCGTGGATTGGTACTGCCACTTTCATGTTATCCGCAGAGCAGTGCCCAGGCACACTGCATGAGAAGAGAATGGATGTGCCCTTGGCTGAAGCTGGCACCTTGTACCTGACACACATTCAAACGATTGGTGGGGGCGCAAGGAACAGCCAATGAAGAAACGACTGTGTAAGAGGATGGCAACAATTTAATGAGCTATTTGGAAGCAAAAATACGTATAGTGGGAGACCTTGGCAGATAATCGTGGACTGCGGTGACAGTCGCAACAGGGATCACAGCCACAAGCAAGGAAGTCTAGCAACAGGAAGCCACAGCCACCAACACAGGATTCATAAAAATGCGTCGCACTCACATGTAGTTCCCCGCCCCATCTCCTCACCAGCAAACCCAGAACCACAGACATCATGCGCATCAAGTTGCACTTGTGTCTACTTCCGAACGTTGTGATGCCGGTCGTCATAGTAGCAGCCCCAAAGTCCCAGGTACCGGTACCAAGCATATCTAAGCTAAGCTGCAATGCCTCAACTCAAAACGATCTTTGCACACTCACTTGAACTTCCCGGCGCTGGTGATGCCGGTCTTCTTGGTGGCCGCCCCGAAGTTGCAGTTGTTGTACGCGTCCATGGAGTTCATAATCCACACGTCATGCGGGACGCCCGTCCACTTGAACACTGCAGGCAGGTGTGCGGAAAGTGGGACAGGGAAGCACACGCAAGTGAGGCCAGTGCGATGGGGCCAGTGGGGTGAGGCAGCAACGAAGTTGCAGTTGTTGTACGCGTCCATGGAGTTCATGATCCACACGTCATGCGGAACGCCCGTCCACTTGAACGCTGCATAATGGGACGGACGGACGGTGGCAGCGACGCAGAAGCAAGTGAGGCCAGTGGGGTGAGACGAGTGGGATGAGGCGAGTGGAATACAACAGACCAATATCAGCAATGCTAAGGGTTGAGTATTCATGCTAAAGCGCACAGGATCATAGCAGTAAGAAGAATAAACCAGGGGAAGCGAAATAAGTGTGTCTTTCTTGATTATCACATCCCCTTGCAACGACCACTGTCAAGGAGGGGTCGTGTGAGTATGATGAGTGCATGAAGGGGAGGAGGCGTACGGAGAGTGTCCCCTGCGTGAATGACTCCCTTTGGCTTCCATCTCTTCACGCCGAATCCCCACGGACTGAGCCCACTGCCTCCCACTGTGAACACCTTCGCCTGAAGAGCGGCGGCGATGACAGAGAGGAAGAGAGTGAAACGCATGAGAGGAAGACAGAGACTCAAAGAGGGCAGGACATAATGAGTTAAAGTGGCAGAAAGGCAGAGGGGTGGCGTTGGACAGTGCGGAGAGGTCAGGCGGAGAGTACGAACGCGGGGACTTAAGGACGGGGTACGGAAGAGGGGGGGGGGCGAGAGGCAGGAGGGCAAGAGAGTGCGAGCACGAGACAGGAGAGGGGTAATGGGGCAAAGAGAGCAGTACCTCTGACTGGATTGCGCCTGCCACCAGGAGATATATGGAGAGGGGTAATGAGGGGAAGCAGCGGGGCAGAGAGAAAAGAGACACGGGAAGGGGAAAAGCTGGGGGGATGAGCGAGTAATGGAAACAAAGGCTTTCACGAGCGAGATGATGGTCGAAGAAGCGCAGAAGAAGGAGAGCAGCAAAGCAACAGTGCATGAGAGCAGCAGAGCAGGAGGGCAGGGTGTCAAAGCAGACTAGCAGAGACTCTCCAAGAAACAAAGAAAGCCACGATGCGCCCTCACAGCCGAGAGAAACCGAAGGAAAGCGGCAAAAACAGGCGAATCTAAGAGTGAGGCTGATGTGAGAGACGAGGGAACTACGAGGAAATAAGGACGCAGAGTCACGTGGGAGCAACAGAGCGGCGTGGCACGGAACGACTCGAGTGAGTTTCTTTATTATAATAGCATAAACTCCCAGGTCCCAGAGAGCCGGTGGGCGAAAGAGGGATCAGCGCGTACAGAGCAGCACGATGAGTGCTGTGGTCGTGAGGGCAATCGCGGCAAGCGAGCGAGTCATGGCAACGACGGAAGGGCGCGCGAGACGGGAGCAGCTTCTCTTGAATAATCGAGTCGCCTCAACGACTACGAGATAGTGTAGGGGAATCGTACTCGGAGTCGCGTTAAGTTGGGACCAGCCGCACGAAAGTCAAATAAATATGGCGAAGTGGGGAATGGGAAGTCGGCGAGGAGAACCGAGGATCACTAGGAAAAGAGAAGCTGGTTGTGTCCAAGGAGTCGAGCTTATTTCTACTAGGTCGGGTCGGGAGTGGTTCTTGTTTCTCAGGTCGTTTTTCCGCCCCAGCGGGAAAAAAGGTTCTGCCTTGCTCGGCTCCTTGCATCTTCACTGCCCTTCGCCTGCGTGGACTCGCGCCTTCCAAAACTGGAGCAGGTGTGATGGCATCCCTACCACTCCACCCTCCCCCCTCCCCCACCCTCCCACACCCTCCCCCTCCTCCCCATCCAGAGTTCCCTGGGTTCCCCACGCTCCACGCTCCAATGTATGTGTACAGTAATACATTTCCCCCTCCCCCCTCCTGGCCCTTCCCCCCGACCTCTTCCTCCCCATCCCTCCTGCCAGCCACCCTTCTGCCTCACGCGGAGATGTGAGGAAAGATCGTGGAACAAGGTGGTTGCACCTGGCGGCCGCCAATGGCGTTTTGGTTTCGCAACGCCACTACGCTGTTGCCCCATCGCGCAACTGACTGGCGAGCCCCCCACCCCAACTGTGCGAATGAGCGGCAAAACCCTAGACTGTGAAATCGGACGGCTGAATAAACAGATACCGTATAGTTGAGTTGAGAATCGAACGGCAAAGGGATGATAGGCAGCAGCCGTGAAAGAAAAACGACTCATCATTTGACGCGTGGCGAACGGAGAGCGACGTAGGCACTCTCACCGACAGATAGGTTGAGAAGTCAGATAGCCTATCAGAGAAGCTCCCGTGGTCGGTGCATTACATGCCTTTGTCTGTTTGTGGCAGTTCCGTTACCGTCCGTGTGTGACGATGTACACTTCCTGATTACCTTTCATCGCTACCCTTCACAGCACTCCACGTCTTTAGACCAAGCCCACTCCCTTGACTCTTCAATCAATAACTAACATAAACTAAAATCCACCTTTGGATTATTTCCTTTTGCGTAAGTTGAACTTCGGCATGATCCAAGAACTTCGTGTGAGGGTGTGGTACTCCTAAAATTTGCTCTGGTAACTACCATGAATCCCATTATGGGAACTCCAATGCCACTTCATACAAATGTCATTCCATACCGGTATATGGAAAATCTATGACTGCATGCACCATGGCAGGGCGCAAAGTCTTCATGAGCATTCGTTAACAATACAACAATATATGAATGTGCAGGAAGCAACAAAACAATGAGGATACAACCAATCTCTCCACTATTCAGACCCTTGTGATGGAGCAGACTGACTCCCTACAGCGAAAGCAATTGCTTCATCAAAAGAACGGGTCGGATGCTCAACACTATGGATAATCAAATCGACCGCATTCGGCTCCGTCCTATCGCCCCCAAATACACTCTCTTGTATGCCCAGAAGCTCCGAGACAACTTGGTCCATGTGTGGGCGATGGGATGTGGGCATGGTTGTGCAGCGCAGTGCAAGCTGCCCCAGCTGAAGGAGCGTGTCAGAGGGAGCATCTAGTGCAGGGTCTCTGAAATCCTCTGCATCCCCACAGGCCACCAGCGGCTCGATCTGAAGGCCGGTGAAGGTTAACCAAAGAAGAAGCAGCGGGCAAGGAGCGTGTCAGGCAGAGGGCAAAGAGTGTAGGAGGCAGAGGGGAAGGAATGTGTGAGGGAAGGCACAGCGTGGTAGGAAGGGGACAGCTGGCACGCAAATGGAGGTAACACAAGCTCACTAGCTGCAGAATGAGAGAGGGGGGGGGGGGGGATTGTGGGGGGTTTACAGTGACCATTAGAAAGGTTGGTACCCCTAGTCGCTCACTATGACTGACGGGCAATAGGCTTCTCAATGGACTCACCCATTGTCGTATGTGCACGTTTTGGTCCCCAATCTTCTGCAGTGCCCGCCGCGCTGTGAGCAACTCTAGCATGACCACACCGTAGCTGCACAGCACAGGGGCATTGCAACAATGGAATGGGACCTCTTGTTCGTTTTTAGAATTCTGAGTCAGGTCAAGTCGCTTGCCACAATCCAGCATTGCTACGCCATAGCTGCAAAGGGCATGATGGAAGAGCTGGATGAAGAAAGTACAAGACAAGACACTGCTCCACACCTCGAGGGGGGGTGATGCCATGCCATGCCATTCCAGTCCATTCCATGCCATACCATTCCATTCCATGCCATACCATTCCATTCCATGCTATGCTATGCCATGCCATGCCATGCCATGCCATTCGATGCCATGCCATACCAAGCGATGGTGAGTGATGGTCAGCCAACAGGGGGATGACGACTGCAAACACCTACACACCACCCCCCTCCCCTTTCCCCCTTATTCCCCCGGGGTGAATTTAACTTTTGAGACATCTCAAAAGTAGCCCGGGGTGCCTTGTGGCTTCATCACAACTTATCATCGCGACTACCTTCGCAGTGGTTCCACCCACCTACACATATCCTTCTAGCCTGCCATGCATGCCTGTGCACCTGTACACGTCAGCAGCAGCGGTGGCCTTGCGGGACTTGGAGTAAGCGGGGTCCATGTAACCCGGAGTGCCCATGACGCGAGTCGTGTCGCCGGTCGAGCTCTCGCCCCCTATGCGCGCAATCCCAAAGTCTGCAATCTTGGCCTGGTGGTGGGGATTTCGGGTTTAGGGCGACGGGCGACGGGCAAAGGGCGGGAGTTGGCAAGCTCACTTGAGAGAATTCTCAAGAGCATGCTCACTTCCCTCATGCGTGCAGCGCAGCGTGCCAAAGCTGAAATCCATGGTCTTGATTTCTCTTTTTATTTAAAGAGGAATAATATTCAAATCTACTGCTTGAGGGTGGACAGTGTGGATTGGGTACAACAACATGGAAGTGTGGATTGGGGTTGATGAAAAAGCAGTGCCAGTGCGTAAACGATTTCTTTTGGTACACCAACACTTGAGGCATTGGAAAATCAGTGCTCCGGTGCTCAACCTTTGCCTAACTGGGTTGAATGTGAATGTGCACTCTCCATATGAAGGACGGTCTGCATACATTCTTGTGTGTGTGTCAGTAAGAGGTCGAATGTGTGTGTATGTGTGTGCGTGCGTGCGTGCATGTGTTACTGCATATTGTACAGTCGTTCGTGCTGCGAGTCACACACCTTTTTAAGGGGGAAAATAAACTTTGGGTAATTGCTTGAAGAAACAAAATCAAAACAACTGTCTTGCAGCATGGTCCGACTTTAAAATACCGCGGTACATCGTGCAAATGGATTGACGCTGGCATGCTCTAAGAACAGTGGCAAATCGCTAAGAACGGTAAATGCACATGCTTGTACCCTTTGAGTCTAGGGGGTTATGAGTGCACAGTGTTGTACATCTACCTCCTACGATGACCTGCCAGGCTAACAAAATCCCAGCCTCACCCAATCGTCATCACCCAAAATATTCAACCCACCGATCCGAGATTCCAACTGATTTCATCGGGGATTGCCCCCAATTCCTTTCCCATCCATTCGAACCCATTTTTTAAGTGATTATGAGTTTTTAGGTACATTATTTTATGGAACTGGCATTGGATCCAAAGGTCTCCAGTTCGATTCCCCAAGTGCGCACAGAGAGTGCCATGTCCTAGGACGCCCCTGGTCAAACGGGGGTGTCAGGTAACTCGTACTGGCATTGCTGGTGCGATAGGCGGAGAATGGGAACAGGGTTTGAGGCCTGATGGGTTGTGAGTGAACTAGGGTGACAAATACATCCGTTGAACACAATGTTGATGGATTTGCTTAAAGCGGCGGTCTACATTCATCGACGTATTTTGTTAGGTTATTTCGGGTGCACACCCAACGAGGCAAGCTGATTTCCTAGCGAATGACCCTCTTCCAGAATCAGCAGGTGCGAAGGAGTCAAACGGGACTAGCGAATTCCGCCAGTTTCGTGAGGACCAGGGGTTGGGAAAACAATAATCGGCGACTCCGCGAACATTTCGTGAGGTTGGGGTGAGGAGGGATTGGCGAAATTGAGCGGCCAATCCAGAGCAGGGGTTTTTTCAGGCGGGGGTTGTGTTGTCACAAACCGGGAATCGCACCTCGCCACTGAAGCTGAGGGCTACCTGGTTTTCAAGTGATAAACCATAGCCTCTCCCGCCAGGTATGTAGGCGACAGCTTTAATTATTGAGCCTGCTCACCGTCATGTGGCATTTTGAGACGTCTAAAAATATTACTTTTATCACGTGGCTACATCCGTTGAAGAACGCAATGTTGATGGATTTGCTTAACTATCGAGCCCAGCTCACCGTCATGTGGCGGTCGAGTAGGATGTTGGCTGGCTTGATGTCGCGATGCACGATGCCAAAGCTGTGCAGGTAGTGCAGCCCTTGAGCCATGTCCACCAGCACACTCAGACGCTGCTTCAGAGAGAGCGGAGGGGTGCATGAGTCTGCAAAAAAGGGGGTTGAAGGAGAAACAGGGAACAAACAGAGAAACGGGAGGAGAGCGATCAAATGGAAGGCAAGAGGCAGGGCGTGTTAGCAGAAACCGGTTTTTGCGCAAAAAACGGCTGGTGAAGCAACAACATTTCAAAGGCAAAACCATTCTAAATTGGTGAGCCACATGGCACAGTAGATCCCAACAGACAGTGAGGAAGTAGTGTAGCGGTGGAGTTCTCTCACACACACCACATGTGTGATCACTCACCCTTGTCAGCATGCAAATAGCGAAGCAGGTCACCCCCATCCATGAACTCATACACGACGATCTGCTCGTGCTCCTCTGTCTTCGCATCCATGTGCACGCAGTACCCCAGCAGCCGCACCAGGTTCGGGTGGTGCTTCGATGCCATTTGCTGCACCTGTTGCAGTGACAAGGGAGCAGAGGAGTGGGGTGGTGGTGATGGTGAGGGTTGAAACTACATTCTAAAAGGAGTTGGGCAGCCATACTCGCATGCCATTTGCTGCACCTGTTGAAGTCAAAACGAGGGGGGCGGGCCATATACATAGTGAATGCTGCTTGTGGTCGAAAGGAAGGTCTGCTGCTTGCAAGCCATACGCTTCAACTGTTGGTTGGGAGTAGTAGCGGCAAACTATGGAGTCAACTAAAAATGCGGTGGCAGAAAGTGGAGGGGTCGATGATTACAACTTGTGACGTTTCTAGTGGGACCAAATCAGACCGTCATTCGGATGGCTGAATGTAAAGAAGAAAGCCCAAAACACGTGCTGGTGTTGTTTGCATGTTATCTGCTGGACTGCGGAGGGTGGGATTGGGGGGAAGCAGAGTCGCACGAGCATGTGGTGGAATCCGAGGTACAGTGGAGAGGAGAGGAAGTGCCATGGCATGCTTGCCATCTGCTGACATGCTTGCCATCTGCTGACATGCTTACCATCTGCTGACATGCTTGCCATCTGCGGGAACTGTTGGCATGATCAAGGGGCCAACGAAGCTTGGATATATACAGCTGAGAAGGAAATATATGAATGTTGGAAAATTATCATTCTTTAATGTTTGACAGCCCGCGCAGACTTTGACCATCCGCTCTCCCATTTTCGTCGCCGCAGACAAGCTTTTGTGCACATCACACCATCCAAGAAAGGAGCACGGCACAGGCACGACACATTTGCTAGAACATTGGTGAGATGTACCAACAATCATGAATCTGCACTCGATTGTGACAACATGCATGTCTGTTCAAACCTAGAATTCGCCTGTTGACTTCATTCCATTCCGCTGTGTAATGACATCAGCTGTGCTGCG